AGCCATCTCTATTAGTTTATACTCTGCTAATATATTATCCTGATTACTATTCTAAGTCTAATTCAAGTCCAATTCAAATTCAGTGAAAGATGCACATTATAGCCAGTTATCACAAAAGACAAAGAGCTGCAAATCCTTTTACGTGAGATGCTGCAAAAAAAAAAAAAATAGCTTCCTGCAGATCTATATTATATGACATATAAATATATAAATTTTGACTAATGCTCAAGCAATTGGTCAAACCTACATCAAACGTCTTTACATTTTCACAGCGGCTTTGCCCGAAGGTGAGCTAATGTTACTCTCAGGTCTGCTGGTGTGTCTGGAGATCAGCTCTGTGGTGTAGAAACTGGGTCTGGGGACCCCTCGTCACCAGCTCTGTACCAAAAGAAAAGGAGCTCTTTCTTAACGCCTGCAAGTTGAGCACTGCTGTTCTACTGCTACACCCCTCAGCTCAGGAGAGGTGGCAGACTAAATAAGTCCCCACTGAGAGACACTTACCAAGTGCAGAAATTCCCTGTGAAATTAATTACAAGAGCAGTGATCGCAAAATAAATCTGTTTGTGGAGGGGGTCTTTTCTTTTTTTAAATGCTGTTGTTTGGTTGTCCTCGCCACTCCCCTCCCCAAGGTCCCTGACTTTCTATGTTAGAATTCATTAATAACACGCCTAAAAAAAAAAAAAACTTAACTAATTCCAAATCAAAAACACCTCTACAAACAAACCCCCCCATAAAACAAAAAAACCCTAACCCCAAACACACAACAAAGAGCTTAGTGAGAGATTGGATTGGCTGTCTGGCTGCAGACTGCAGGGTAAATATTGGCTGAGCCTGAGAGTGCCTGTCTGTGTGCGTGTCTGTGTGTATACATCTGTAAATGTGTGCGTGCGTGTGCCCATGTGTACATTTTTGCGTGTGCGTTTGAGGGAGAGTCAACAAGTAGCCGTGTGCGTGTTTGGCCTGAGGTAGTTGACAGATGACCCCACTGCCACCTACACACTAACACCACTCACACACAGGATTACAGATCAGGCCATTTACATCCGTCTGGCTGGCTTGCCCCCGCTGCAGGCTAACTGTTACATACACACAGCGCAGACGGTCACTTAAGTCTCCGATACAGGGACCAGGACATTCCCCAGAGACAGACGTGTGTTTGTGCGTGCTTCTTAAGAACCAGGAGGATGATTCTAGGAATATTCTACACAAGGGTTTGTATTTTGTATTTTGAGTTTTATTTTCGACACATTTGGTCGCACTATAGTTACTGTGTACAGTATAAACCAGGCTAAAGGATCGATAATTGCGACGCAATTGCTTTTTCAGTCCAAACATAAGAAAGACTGTTAGGTACAGGCTCACAATCATCTATTGGTCCCCGGCATCTCCTCAACCAATGACATCACTAAGGTTTGGAAAAACAAGGAAGCTACAACTGGTTGTATTGTGGCGTCTGCCATGTTACTCGGTCAACTCATTATCATGCTTGCGTCTGACTCTTACCTAACTGAATGATGCTAGGGGTGCAACAATACTCGTATCAATACTGAACCGTTCGATACAGTGCTTTTGGTTCGGTACGCATATGTATCAAACGATACAAAATGTTTTATTTATTTTATCAACTTTTCTTCTGACGATGCTGTCTGTGTTGAGCGCTCAGTGGATCTGCGTTCGATTGATCCGCCTAGGCTGCACTGTCGAGTGCAGATCCACTGAGCGCAGCGCAAGCTAGCAAGACAGAAGCTAAGCTTGTTGCAACATGGCAACTGCCTCAACGCTACCCGAAATTGAACCTCCCCCACCCTCATTCAGATCTGGCGTTTGGAACTGTCTTGGTTTTCATGTGAAGTATGACCCTGATGGTAAGTGCGTCATGGACAAAAGTAAAACAGTATGTCGGATGTGCCACGCAATGCTCAATTGGTGGGAACTAGTGCGTTAGCGCAGTGAGCTTGTTAACGTGTTGACGCCGTCCAGCCCCACGCACGGGGCGATCTGCGGTAGCTCGTTAACGGAGATTTGCCGCATTACGGCGTTAATGTCATTTTAACGAGATTAACGCTGACAGCACTAGTGGGAACACAATGAATATGACTGCACATTTATGCCGACATCATCCTAGTGCAAAGACAAGTGGAAGCAGACAAAAACAACAAGCACGCATGCTACAAACTTTACCCGAGTCATTTAGACAGCTGTTAGCACATGATTCTCCTTATGGGGACCTGATATGTTTAATATGCTGCTGAGAATATAGCCCAGAAGAAGCGTATAGTATAGCTTTTATTTTGGAAAGAGCCATTTCTCTGTAATAAACTCTCTTTTCCAAAGATGAGGGATTTCTCGAGCAGATAGATTTTTATTTTTTTTATTATTTTGTTGTTTCAGCAACATTACATTTAAAAACTGTACTTTTGAGTTAAAATATATATTTAATTTTAATGAATGACAAATTAAAAAGGCATGAACATTTTTTTGTATCGAAAAAATATCGAAAGTATTGAACCGAACCGTGAATTTTGTGTATCGTTGCACCCCTAATGATGCCATTATGCAGCAGCTGATCTGCAGCCTTGTCCCAAAATACAATCTTACTTTTCTAATCAGTTTTCCTGATTTAACCATTTTCAATCCAGATTACAGAACCAACCACTGCATTACTATTGAGACATTTCCCAAGGTTTTGTAGAAACAGGGTTTGCACTAGGTTCAAGTAGAATGATCTAAGGCAGCTGACATATAGTATTTCCCCTGATAATAGCAGTAAGAGACAATATCTGATTAAATGACTTAAGAGTGTAATATGTTTGCCGAACACATGTTTGCAGTGTGACCCTGCAGGGACGACACCTTCAAAAGAAAAGGTGAGCCACTATCCAGTTAAAGCTTTTATCTCTCAGCCTCTTTAGCCGGGCAGCTAACTGTAGGTTAAAGCTAAAGGATGCGCAATGACTGGTGCTGCTGTGTGAAAACAGAACTTTAAAATACCATGCCTACTATACGAGATAAATGCACCACACAATGAATCCAAGCACAGCAACAGCTAGGAGACTAACACTTGTTAAGAGGTCTCTGCCTTTCAAATCCTACATGTGAATCCCAGTGTAGGCTGAGGTTCGGTTCCTGGCCATGACACACTGTCTGCGCTGTGATCCCTCTATGTTCCAAGTCCCTTTCAATTTTCCTCCTCGTCTGAATGAAAGAGGAAACACACCAGTGAGACGCCTGCTCTGCTTTATAAAAAAGGGGAGAGAGAGGAAAAAAAAAGAAAAGAGGCAGACTGTAGCTCTTTTCTGCAGCCAGAGAAATCATCAAAGCATGAGCTGCATTATTCAGCCTTGCCGAGTCTGCATGACAACACAGCCGACAAACAAGAGCTCTTTTCAAACCAGACGGCCACTACAGTAGAACACAGCTATTTCAAACCACTTGTGAATGGAGCTCCCTCCGACTAGTGAGACATTAAGACGAGGAGAAATGCACTGAAAATACCAGGCCAGTATTTATTCAAAGTTGTGTGAACCCACAATGCAGTTTGTTTGCTAGTTTAATACTTTGCAAGTGTCAATCAGAGCAACCATTCCACTTTTTCCCTCCTCTTGCTGCACTGCTCAGTCTGAGACAGTCCTCCTGGATTATCTAATTAGGCTCCGTGCTGTACCAGTCGATCTGTGCGTGCACCACTTCATGCCTGACTATGTGCTTTTCCTGGCTAGCAGTACCATGATGCCACAGAAAAACGAATGGAGGAACACCAGTCCGTCTGCCAGATAAGCGCACAGGCGCGCACACACACACTTACTTCTTGGTTGCAATGTGGCGTCAGCACAACCACACTCTGCTGCCAAATCTGAATCTAATATCCTGTGTTCACCTCATGTTGCCCGGCCCTGGCCTCGACCCCAGTGGAAATTACACATCAGTGTAACTCTGTCTGTCCTTCTGTCCGTACGTCTGTAGCTTGTCTGCGTGTCTGTCTGTCAATATATCTGCCTGTCTGGCTCTCCCGCATCTCTGTTTATATCTCTGTTGGTACTTGCCTGGCTGCCTGGTTGTGAATCTACCCGCCTTGTCTGCTATGTGCCCGTCTCCTGTTTATTTGTCTTCCTCTGTCTGTCTGTAGACCTGTCACGCTGCATGGATACACTCACTGTGCGTCTGGCTGTCCTCTGGTGTCTCTACATGTCTGCCTGCTGTGCTTTTTTTTTCTTTTTTCCTGAATGCTCAGTCATAAAGAGGAACATCTGCAGTGGATCTAGCAGGCAGCAGCATTAGAGCAGAGCTGATAATGATAGTTTCTCTTTGGGCCGCTCAGAAGGCAGACAGACATAACATACCATTCAAGCGTTTCCTGTCTGTGCTGACAGGCAAACTATTTAACCCTCTGTGGTGAGCTCCGAGAGCATTTGCACAGCCAGGCAGCCCTATAGGGTCATACAGTGCCACTGTAAAACCAACTTCAAGTGAGAAAAAAATACTACTTCTGGAAAACGCAGTAGATTATTAAAAGCTTTTTTAGTACTAAGCTGGAAGTACACACATATTGATATTTCTTAATAAGCTAACTGTTGAGTATTACAGTGTACCCGATTAATAGTAATGGGCACCTAAGAGCTTAAACGTACGCCAACGCCTGACATAAGCACTAAAAAGTCCACACGGTGTGGTAGAGACACACTTTAAGTCAAATAAAGACAATAAAAGAGGTTATAAATACCACTAAGTGCTATGAGGTCACCATAAACTTTCTGCTGGACAGCGCAGACATGCTGAAAGTCCATACAGAAGAATTATCGGTTTCCTCTAAGGTATTTAGAGCGGCCCACAGCGAGTTAATAGCAGAACTGTTTAACCGTGTTGGATGAACACTAAGTCTGATTTGTTGTGCTTCTGTTGCCACACTGGAGAGTGCACATAAAACGGATTAGGCACTAAAGTCTGTGGGTAGGTTTTTAAGGTCAGGAGAACTCGTAAGAGGAGCAGCTAATGTTACTCACATATCTCCATTCCCTGTGGCTGGGAAGCGGTGCAGTTGCAGGAGCAGGTGACATTGGAGTTGCCGGGGCCGCCAGGAGCCGTTAGGTTTTGCATGGGGCTGGGCAGACCGGGACACCGCTCCGGGGAGAGAGCCGCCGCCGCCGCCGCCGCCAGCGTCGGGGCCCCCCGACGGGAAAACAACGAAAAACTTCCAGGCAGCAGCAGCAGCAGCAGAGTCTGCCGCTACAAGTAACTCCCGACAGTTTCGCTTTAATTATCCCACGGCTTTTCTCACGCCATAATTCTCTCGGAGCGGCTCGGTGAGAGAATCACTGGGAGAGCTGGGGACGAGCCATTGCCTTTGGCTAATGCATTGTACGGCTTTTTCCGTTCCTTCCTCCGTCGCTGAGAGCAGCTGTCTTTACCCTACTACAGCTCGGCAGACACGGCGTCCTCAAGCCACGCCCGCAAACTGACAGAATGCCGCAGCGGCCTATCAGAGTGCTTCGGGGGAGGGACAGCGACGGGGTGTTGGTGGGTAGGGGAGGGAGGAGGCGCTGCCTTCAGGAGCGCTAAGAAATATCACTACCCTGACTTTAGCCAGCTAGGGAAAAAAAGCAACAAAATAAACGTAGTCCCACACCCTGTATGTAAAATTGACACTAAATCCAACAAATCTTCTAATTAATGACCATCAAATGCATTCACATTCCCACATTTTAATATGACAATGAATTGTAAGAGGAGCACTTGAAGGCAGCAATGGGCAGAGGATGGGACAGCGGCTGTACTTTATGGTAGTGTGCACGCGTGTCTGGGTTGCAGGGGGCAGGCCGCACATTGGTGAGACTGAAAGGGGTGGCTGACCTGACTTAGAAATCTAGCAGACGGGTCGTGGTTGACAATGGCTGTAAGAGAAAGGAGTTGGGGGGAGAGAGGAGGGCTGGACCTGGTAGGTCTGGTGTGTTATTTGGGGAGGGTGGGGGAAGCGCTTCGAGTTTCACTCCCTTGTTATGGCCGGCCACAGCCAATATAGTCGGCTCTTTAAAGGGGCTAACCTTGAGGTGACCCCCCAAGCTAGTCTTGTGGTTCAGGGCCACATGTGCAGCAGAGAGGCAAACCCCCGCCCCCAGCACATCCCTGCTTAATCTAACCAACAGTGCAGCCATTTCATCCAACACACACACACAAACACACACATACAGGATCTATAAATAAACTAGGCTGCTCAAATCTGAGAGGGGCTCTGAATGCCACTCTAGTCCAGGAGGTTCCCAAGCTAAGGTTCAGGGACCAAGCAAGGTCATCATAGAGCTTGCAAGTTTTTGACTTTATTTGTGCAGAGGATAAAACAAGTAGTAGGTTAATAGTCTCTTAGCTGGTCATATTAGATTCCTGAATTTGCAGGTGAATCTAAAGATACTATAAAGGATACTCTAATATACTATAAAGGATATAAAGTATATTTTATTTTGAACACATCATTGAGGCTGTGCAAGAGAATTCACATTGGGTTTTGTGAAGTGTTGTAGGAACTCTTGATCTAGTAGTCCTGAAGTCACTCCCCCCCCCCTCCTATTGCTGTTTGGAACCATAAGCTGTGTATTAAAGATTTCTGGGCTTCCCACATTGGTCACTGCCATGTCAGAGTGCCATGTCAGTAAGATTAACAAACTTGGTTAGCAAGCTGCATCTATAAATCATGTGCCTGTAAAGCACAGACACATATTTAGTTGAGGTCATGCTTTATCCATTCCAAAACCAGTTTTCATGTATGTTTCTCTTGATTTAACCTCCAATTATGCCTAAATTTCAGCTGTGTAGCTGTTGATTTGAGGTGAAGTGGAAGAATGTTTCTACTACTTCTACCAGTATCACTGACAGCAAAAACGCCACTGAGTATGATGGTGCCACTACCATGCTTGACAGTCGGTACAGTGTTTTTAAGTTTGAAAGCCTCACCTATAATCCTCCAAACATAAAACATACATCTATTCAATGTGAACAAATAGCTCTTTGTTTTGTCTTTCCATAGTACTCTTCTCTAGAAGGCATTAGGCTTGTTTATTTGGACTATACGTATAAGCCAGGTCTGTGCCAGGAAACCATCCAGTGGTCAAATATCCAGCCAGAATTATGCCAGAAGTTTGTTGATGGCAAACCAAAAGCATCTGGTCAAGATGCAAGTTGCTGTTTAACCAAATATTAGTGGTGTTTTGAATCTGAATTTATTTCGGATTTTCTCCAATTTACACAAACTTGTGCACCCAATACTTGTTCTTTAAAGTCATTAAATATGTATGCTTTACAATCATTCCTCTCCAGAAACACCTAAAATTACCATGACCTCATGCCCATTATGAACATGTGTAAATGTCTGACAATCAAGTAACTGCAATAAAATAAGAGAACTTCAATCAGCAAAACTGAGTTTTGGTTGGCTTGTACCGCAGAGCATGCTATTTATTTTTATTATTGGTCAGATAATTCCAAAAGGTACCAACAGCACAAAAACAACCAGGTGGTCTAATTCAGTGACTTGAATTAGTGTAGTTGAAACCGAGCAAACAGCTTCCAGCTACCAATACTTTTGTTGGCATACCTGTCCATCAGAATGGCAACACTGGTCTCCACACCATCCCAGTACAAAGTCATTTTGATGGATGACTTTGGGCATTTTAACACAAAAGTCTATGGGGACTGACTCACTTTTGGATACAGCCTCAAGTGGATGTTAAAGGAACTGCAAATTTTACTACTTGGACATTAGCTTCATTTTCAGTCCTCAAAGTTGCCATTTATGTGGGGAAAAAAATAAATGTAGCAGATGGACGTGTGACCTGCTCTAGTATAAATGGAACCTCATCAGTCTGTGCACATGGAAAGCACGAACTGGCAACAAGTAATTATATGAAAGACCAGAGATGATGATTGGAGTAATGAGCGGGCCAGGCTTACAGCCTTTTACCAACTGCATGGCCTCATGATGGTCCACGGACCATTTTACAGGACGAATGAAGCTCTTCCAGGTGGCATTCCAAGAAAATAGAGCAAAGAGGGAATAATATAGGAATGGCTCTTCTGATCACAGGCCTGCTCTCTTGCACACCACTTCTGCAGCAAATCATAGAAATGCCATGGCAGAAAATCGCATCACATATTGTGTGTGCTGGGAGTGAAAAATGAGAAATGCCTGCTCAGAGGGGGTGCGGTTTGACCGTTTTCACTCTGAAGACATCAGTAACCGAAGGCAATAAAACGAAATGGACCTCTGTGAAGGAAAATAAGTAAATGGGGAAAGCAAAGACCTCCGACAGATGTTCTGCATTAAGTGCCGCATCACTAGCCAAGTTCTATATCCAATCATGCAAAAATATTTTCCTTGACAGCGGCTTCTACACTCCTCTACGAGTGGACTGACACCTTTGGAAGAGAACAGACTGCGTGACCCTGAAACAATTTACAAAGGCCTGGCAGCTGTCATAATTGTATTGAAGCAACAAATTGAGGCACTGCTGTGTTGTCAGGTAAAGCAACGATATCGATGCACTAAAGACCATTTTTTACAATTTGTTTTTATGTCTTGATCTGAGGTCACAGCCATGCACACACATCCCAGACAAGCTCTCATCCACAGACAGACACACATCGATTCACCCTCCTGCAACCCGCATCCAATCCACCACCACAACCACAAAAATGCAAGCGCACACATGCACAGTCTGTCTGGAGCGTCAATTTAGTCCCCTGGGGAGCACGCAGGGTGACACCACTAACAGGCCAGACCAGACCAGACAGCCAGCAGACAGATAAATACTAGGCACGGCTGAATACCAAATGCACTCGTGTCTACCAGCCCCCCACTCCACCCCCACCCGCCTATAGTCTGCACACACACACAGGCGCTCTCTCTGTGGGTCTCTCGGGAAACGTCTGTCTCATCGTGTATTTGAGGAATCCTAACTTTAGGTTGATAGGTTTATCATGCTCGGCACGTGCACGTGGATCTATTTTTGGAACTTTGGGAGTGCGGGCTTTCCTGCTCACACATGCTTACTCAGGAGTTCACTGCAGTGTTAGTGTTACTGTTGCTGCTGTTTTGTGAATCGAAGTGCCACGCGTTAACGTGACGGCCCTTTAAAGATCTGACAATGCACACTTTTTAATGCAGCATGGACAGGAGAGGAAACACCACCACCGTGTGTCTGCACAAAACCCACACTTCGGATGGCAACAGGTCCATCTTTAGCCACGGGATGCCCGTCTTGTGCATATGTATGTTTGGATACACGGACCATTTCCCACCTGTCACTTCCCCGTGACTTTCCAGATAAAAAGACAGCTGACAGATGACAGTAAGACAGTAGCAGTAGCAGTAACAGTATAAAAGATGCCACGGATGACTCAGAGTTTACATGAGCTGTTTGTGAGGAGACCATGAGTGCATCAGTGATGCGGTCGGGCCAGTAGTGGGGAAAAAGCAGCACAGCAAAGGCCTCAGTTGAGGGTAGCCCCATCCCAACAAGGGCAACTTCTCCATCCCAGCCAGTGTGGTGCTGAGCTGCAAGCTACTTTATAGCGCCATCTTGTGGCTCATCTCAGAAAGAGGCCTGTTTCCATCCAGCATCCCAAACACGGAGTGGAAAAAGTTGCTTTCCTTCCCTGGTGTCTGCTTCAGTCCTTCTCGTGTCTCCTCTCTGTCGCTCCATTACTTGTGAAATCAAAGCTGTCTCCCAGGCAAAGGTTTAAGCTTTGAATCAATTATGCCTCGTCTTCATCAGATGGCACGAGGGAGCAGAGAGGAGGACACAGAGAAAAATAAAAGAGTCCGTTTCTACGGCTCATTTTTTTAAAGACAGATTAAAGTTCCCACAGTGAGCTGTTTAAAGGGCAAATCACAGTTATACTTTACACTAAATACAGTATTTTTTCCTGTATGAGAAGGACTTTTTATACAGAAAACTATGCCGACACCTCTGAATTTGCACTCATTTTGTGTTTTGAATCAACTCTTTTATTTCTGGTTACATTATAATCAAAAATCACAGTAAAAACAGGTATATAAAACGTAATATTTTATAGAACAGTGTGCTGCGTACAACAAGTGGGACATCATTTTCTGCTGAAAACACAGCAAACAGGTAGTTGCTTCTATATGACTGCTTAAAGCAGGGGTGGGCAATTCCAGGCCTCGAGGGCGGGTGTCCTGCAGGTTTTAGATCTCACAGGACATGTTGAGGAGCTAATTTAGCCATTTAAATCAGCTGTGTTGGTTCAAGGACACATCTAAAACCTGCAGGGACACCGAGGCCTGGAGTTGCCCACCCCTGGCTTAAAGTATCCCTTCAGGATATTCAGGACCCTTTAAATCTCTAAAGTATACTCCAACAGAGCAGAAATAATTCATTTATTGATTTGTTGACTAACATAATTAAGGGATTTTTAAGCGAAAGTAATC